ATATATATATGAACATGAAAATAAATATATGTATGTATATATATATATTTATATGAAGAATAAATATAATATACATGTATGTATATATATATATATGAATAATTAAATAAGAATAAATATACATGTATATATATATATATTTATATGAAGAATAAATATAATATACATGTATGTATATATGTATATATATGTATATATATATATATATATATATATATATATATATATATGTGTGTGTGTGTGTGTGTGTGTACTTTTATCCCGTAAACGTTAGAACGATCGATATGGGTACGAACAGAAATTTCGGAGCATCTGTGATCATGGTTTCTAAGCGCCAAATGGTGCCTGAGATAATAGAAATCAAGAGAAATTGGCTTTAATCTTTTCAAAATCTGAAACCCAATTTTCGTCATCCTCATCTTCTTTTTCTCTGTTTGACAGGTGTAGATATGACTGCAAAAAGCAGATTGCAAAGCCTCAGACTTTCAGCAAATTGAAATGGACAGCTATTTCTTGACGAGATTGCAAATTATGGGCATTTACTTATCCGAACGTTGCCACGGCACAATTGGACTTGATACTCATGAGTAAGAAATTGAAGAATAGTGCCTTAAATTGCAGAGCATCACACACATTTCATGAAACCGGCTCTGATGGCACACCACTGATTTGTGCCTGTGATTGCATGAAATAACGCACCAGTCATTGTTTTGCTCAACTTGTAGTGCTAAGTAATCAACCCTTTTAGTTTTGTATGAAATGAACGAAATGCTAACCAATAAATATAAGATAAAAATCAAATAAAAGAGAAAACAGTTATTTACAAATAAATAAATAAATCTTCTATGCTTTATATTTTCGCATCAAATACTTATCTATCAAGAATTATTTGGTTTTGTAACTTGGTTTTAGCATAAGGCGGAACGTATAGAATAACCATTGAGATTTCTACCCACTACTCAGTTGTAAAGATTAACATACAAACCATTATACTGCACCAAAGCAGTCGATGTGCCTAGTAACAAGCAACACTCAATCAAATAAGGGTACCATTTTATGGTTTGAAGTAATGAATAAGTTCAATTTTCGATTTTGTCCCTAACAAAGGTTGGAGTAATATTTCTGATGAGCGGATCCCTTGTAAATATAAACCATTTCCCCCGTTTTTTTACTAACAAGACAGAAAATCAGTGGAAAATTAAGAAAAAATAAAAGTTACCATTGAGTGCCATGAAATTTGATCGTTTGGCGGCATAATTAGTTTGGCTGAATATGTACCTAATACAAACTAATGTGTAAAGCCCTGGAGGATTTGATTGACTGTTGCAGCGTGTTGTGTAGAAACCTACCACCCCTCTTAAAAGATGAACTCGTCTACGAACAAGGACGTTAACGGTGTGGCATGTAAAAGACAGTAGTAAGAAGTTCTTTTTGCTGAGTTAGTTATAGACTTCTCAGGGGCGATCTGCCCAACTTACCAACCAGATAAACTGTTTTATTGTTATGTTATTTGGTTTGTCTTTATTAACCCCAAATTAACATCATAACACAACGATAGTATAATTGTTCAAATATTATCATATTGCGTATATCTTTTCATCGTTTGTGATCAAGGGAGATGGTTTTATTTTTTTGAAAGTGGGACAACTTACTGGTGAAATGCGTTTGATGTGTAAAATGCAGAAACACCGGCAGAAACCAGTGCCAAATCTGATGACTTCCCTTAGTATATTTGTTTTGCCTGTAGAAATTTAATTTTACAAGAAAAGGCTCTCTACAAACGAATTAAAATCAACATTTAAATTATTAAAGTGTTTTTCCTTAATGTCCTGCTTTGTTCACTCACATTTGAATTTGGTCCTGTCGAGGAAGGAGTTGGGAATATTTTGATGGATAAGTCATGTTTAATATATGAGCAGTGACAAGGAGAGATCTTCTAGACTTCTAATATCTTGATGCTGCGAGGAATTTTATTGGTGTATTTCCATCTCTTTCCTGACCAATCGTTCTATTTCTGATCGGTCTTCGCAGTTCCGGTCAAGTTTTCTGTCCAGTTTTATATGTCGAGAGTTTTTCCTTTCGGGTGTAGGCAGGTATGTCGATAATTTCTTCTTGTTCATAGTAATATATCAGGTTGGTTGGGCTTGGTTTATTCGTCAGTTTCAATTGGAATATGCCAGATTATACTAGCATTATCGTTTTTTATTACAGTTGATGGGTCATGTTCATAGTGGATGTCTTTGACTTTGGGGTTTACAGATTATTCAATCGATGTATGCCTTTTATGTGGATTCTGTTTAGTCATTGTAAACATCCAGAACTAGATGATCTATTATTATTATTATTATTATTATTATTATCTATCATTATTGTTTTTATTTCTGATTTCTGGTGTGTACATTTCTTTCTGGGTCCCGACCAGAGACCTAAGGCCAAGGGCAACATCAATTAAAAAAAAAAATCACATATTTACAAAGATAAAGCCCTTCGTAAGGTGTGGGCTTTACTCGTGAGAACAATGTTTTGTATTTCTTTAAGACAAGGGCTGTCAGGAATCCCTTCAATAAGTCTCTACTGGAATCTTTTCCAAACAATCCGTGGATTACAGCTACAACTGGAATTACTGACGTCCTCATGTGCCCTATTTTTTGAGATTTCGATTTCAAGGTCGTATTTTGATAGCTTATGAAGATCGTCAATAGGGAGGCATCTTTTCTGTTTGTGGTCTACGATGCCTGCGCGATTAGCTTTGCTTGTTCTGTCTGTGTGTATTGAGAAGTCCCATAAAATTGTTACAGGTACCATCTCCGTAAACAGGTCTGGTGGTGTAGATATTGGCCAACTCTGTTATGCCGTATTTTATAAACAGTGAGCGCCAGTTACGTACAGCATGATACAAGATGGTCAATTTTTTTCCACGGATATTTATCCACAGAATCTGCATTTTTAGGCTAACACAATTTTCAGTAGGTGTGCTTGATAATTTCAAGTTATAAATATTGGTCCTGTGTAGCCAAGAACAAAACCTTCCAGTTCAGCTTTAAACCCTTCACTACGTTGCTACTGATGGGTATGGGGTTTTGTCTACATCAGCTTCTTTGGTACGGGCAGATCGTGGAAAACGGTTTATTTTACCATCGTTTCTGTATCTGGTCGGTTGCATTTGTTTTCTTTTTTTTTTTTAAGTATTTTTTGCAGCCCAGGTCGCTGTATTGTGCTTTACTTCTTCTTCTTCTTCTTCTTCTTCTTCTTCTTCTTCTTCTTCTTGTTGTTGTTGTTGTTGTTGTTGTTGTTTGTTTATCTTCTTCTTCTTCTTCTTCTTCTTTCCCTTAGATTTCTGTTGTATACACATTTCCTTCTGTTTCTCAACAAAGACCTAAGATCAGAAATGACTTCATGACATTTTGCATTGATCATTGTTGTGAAAATAAAATAAGATCATACATTTAACTTAGATAAAGCGGTTCTTCATGTGTGAGTTATACTTTTGAGTACAATTCTTTGTATTTATTTAAGTCATGGGTCTATCGTAACCTTTTCCAATGAAACAAATTGGACAATCGTTTTCACTCATAGCGCCGAGTCTATATTTCGTGATGGATTCATTTGATGGATAGATTCCTCCTTAATATACGAACACTATCGAAGTAACGAACTTCTGCACTTGTAACTCAGTTGCGATTAATTTATTGGTATATTTTACCATCGTTTTTTAACCAAGCCGAGCATCTATTACCACTAGTAATAATTCTCTACGTTCTCTTAGTTTCTGTATGGGGATCTTTATATTTGAATATCTTTTTTATAATTTTTCAGGTTGGTTTTTTCTTTCGTTGGCAACAGACATCGATAATCACTTTCGTTCTTTTTCCTTCGCTATTATACCACGCCTTAATTTATTTACAACATTTATTCAGACTTGTGTTTTTGGCCTTTACCCTGCCGGTGTCTACCAAGTGTTATATATATATATATATATATATATATATATATATATATATATATATATATATAAATATATATTTAAATAGGTTGAAACGGTACAAAAGCGTAAAGGGCATTAAAAACTAAAATGTTGTATTGTAGGCCCGTGACAGCAAGTCAAGAATCAACTTGTGCGATGGATTTCAGTGAACTGGTTTTCCGTCTTGGCCAGTTCACTCACTTTTCCATCTTAAAAAGGTGTTGGGTCGCTTTATCCAAGGTCAGGCAACCTGCTCTTTGCAAACAAAGAAGATTGTTTGCTTGGACTTGCTGTTCTACTTCTAACAGCTTAGTTGGTATAATTTTAATTTTTTTCTTTCCTTTATTCCCTGTCCATTCATTCTTATCATGGCCTGCAATACAACATTTCTCAGTTTTTTAATGCCTTTAACACGCTTTGTACTGCTTTAACCTATATGTATATATATATATATATATATGTGTATATATATATGTATATATGTATATATATGTGTATATTTATATGTGTATATATATATATATGTATATATATATATATATATATATATATATATGTGTATATATATATAGGTATATATATATTGTGTATATACATGTACATATACATGTATACACATGCATATGTATATATATATATATGCATACATATACATGCACATATACATACATATATATATATATATATATATATATATATGTATATATATATATGTATATGTATATGTATATATATATATATGTATATATATATATATATATGTATATATATATATATGTATATATATATGTATGTATATATATATGTATGTATATATATATGTATATATATGTAGTATATATATGTCAATAATAATAACACTCTGTTTTGTTTTTAAAAAATTAGAGAAGTTATTTTTGGCATTGAGTCGCGTTTATGTATTTTCTATTCTTTAAATTCCCTACAGAATGGGTTGTTTTTATTGAGATAAATGGTCAGTGATAGCCAGTGTATAAATTTGGTGATTGTAATAATTTGAATTGGATGCTTGTTTCAGTGATGACCGTAGAAGACGCCATGAAGACCGTAGATTTAACAGACGACGTAGCAGAGATCGGTCAAGATCCAGAAGTCCCAGAGGAAAGTCCCGGCGAACGGGCACTGGCCCCCACGAGGGATGCTTGCTCGTGGATCGGTGAACCATCAAGGAGTCCAGCCATAAGAACATTCAGTGGTCGATCACGTTCAAGATCCTGGTCCCCTCAGCGTTCACGATCCCGCTCTCGATCAAGAGGTACGTTGTTCACATTTATTGCTCTCCACATTGAAGAACAAAATGCAATATTTTCAAAGAAACTTGTTTTACTTATTTTTTGAGTCTTTATATTTTGTATTTTATTTTTTGTTTTAACTCCCTAAATAAAACTTAATATGAATACATGATAATGTGGTGGAATAGTAATTATTATGCAGTTTGTAAGCATAGTTGGTGCCAGATTTTCTTATTCCTTTTATTAATAGTAATGAATTATTCCAGGGCGGAAAGATGTTGACAGTTGTGGATCAACCCCTCTGCAAGATTCCGATAGCTATAATGTGGCTGCTGCATCAGTGGCCCAAGTTCCTCCAGGTTGTTCTAGTCCCGTCCCAACAGTTAGCAATGCAATATCTGTTGTGTCTCCCTGGGATGCTAACAGAAACCCTGCTCCTGTGCCTGCCACTGCTGCTGCTGCTGCTGATGCCACTCCTCGTACAACAGCTCCATCTGGCACTGGATCAAATCGTCCACGGTGCAGAGATTATGATGGTAAGTTCAGTGGTACTTATTTGTTTTGTTTAAAAAAGATCTCCTGATTCAAAATTCCACAAGTTTCAATGGGGATCTGGTATTTTACATGAAAACATTTTGGTAACCCGAGAAAAAGAATAAAAAAAAAAAAATAAACATTTTTATATACTATTTGCATAGGGAACATGAGGACAACAAATTCAAACAATATTTCGGCCTTCTTCAGGTGATTGAAATTTCAGGCTGAACCCTTTATTTCGTCCTCTGGGGTAGATTATTCTAATTCCACGTGCCATACCTCTTCCGGATGTGTCAGTTATATCTCCCTTTAACTTAACTCTCCAAGCTTTTGCTCATCGCTGTAGTAGCCGAAATGTGAATATAGCAACAAAGATAAGGTTAATAGTCCAAACAATGTAAATAAGTACAATACCTCATCTTAGAAATATAGACAGATTTTTATACTTCTCTTTTTCCAATATTATTCTTTATTTAGCTACTACAAATCTAAAATGTACTGAAGCTTACCCCAAATTTAACTTCATAATTTTAAATGTGGACATTAGTATATACCGGGTTTTCATTAGATATTATTGCAATAAGTTTATTTTCCATTTTCGTTGTATTCAAGTTACTTTTAATAGATTTGAATTTACATTTTGTGGAGAAAAAAAAATGAAAATTTTAAAATAGTCAAAAAGACTTAAACATCATAAAATGGACAAATTATGTATTTTTTTTATTTTTAGTTTTTTCTTTGATGTTTTTCAGAAAAGGGTTATTGTATGCGTGGTGACCTCTGCCCTTATGATCATGGTTTAGATCCAGTGATAGTTGAAGATGTCAATTTACCAAATGTTCTATCCTTCCCTCATGGTCATGGTATGTATATATCTCACTTGTGATCAGTCTTTTGTTTACTTTTATATTTTTTTCCAAACTGCATCAGTTTTATTTTTGAAAATATGGAATTTTAACCATTTTTACTTCAAAAATCTTTTATTCAAATGTACAGTCAATACAAGTTTTAATCACTTCAATAGATAAGGCAGTAAGTTTTGGATTGTGACACTAATTAACATTGTCATTATTTTTTATTTTTTTTAAAGCTTGAAGTATCCAATTCATTTAATGACAATTAGTTTTTAAAATTAATGGAACCAAGTAACATTCTATAACCAACTTCTGTTTCTAGATTAGGGAAAAAATTCATTTTGAATGTAGAAAGATTGATATCACCTTCATTTATATTTTTGTAATTATTTAAATTTCTTCACAAATTGTAAGTTTTATTTGGAGCTAAAGAAATTGGTTCTTGTTTTCTTTTAGGTCCACCAACTGGTCCTGGTGGCCCAGGATTTGTTGGACCCAGAATTCCTCCACCTAATCATCCTCACTTATCACAAATGGGGCCTCGAGGACCACCTCCTCGACCTTCTAGGCCAGGTAATATTTAAGAAAACATACAAAAAAGAAATTTTATTTTACTTTTTCAAGTTTTATGTCTGCTTGGAATTTTTTTATTTAATCTTCACAAATTTTTTTTTAAACATTCTAATGAGAGTTCATTAAACGTTATTTCTGTGAAACTTTATTGAAGCATGCAATAAATTTTGATTTTTTTTTTTTTTTTTTCTCCCCTCTCTGAAGTAGGAATGACAATCTTTAACTTTCATGCCTGCAATACAATGGTGTCAAAAGGATGGTTTTCCTTTTAATACTGCTATTACTCAGCAATCTTTGTAGTTTTAAAGAGTGATGATTAGAATTTTAATGAAGCCCGAACATATGGAAGTCAATTTATGCATTTTCTTTCTTTGAGAATTTAGCAGCAAAAATATAAAACACTATTACATTGTTTATTGACAAAAGTAATTTTAAATTTACAGCATTCTAAAAATGTGAATCGACTAATGGTGTTTATCAATTTATAAATCAAATTGTTAAATTGAATTTTGTTTGAACAGCCTTATCTGCTAATTGATTTGTTGTTGACAGCCTAGGCATTTTGATGGTTATTTTTTATCTTTTTGTTTTCATTACCCCATTTTCCAACCTTCACCTGTAGTGGAACCGTACCCCCCAGAAGGTTACAACCCAGAGGCTCCTGCTATTAACCCTCCTAGGCCACCTTTCTGGGTTGGGCCTAGAGGACCTCCTCGTCCAAATCAACCCTTCTACCCACAACCTCCAAGGCAGAGGGATCTTGTCAATGTGCCAACCATTCCCGATGTCTTGAAGCCTCCAAGTTAGTATATTTTGATTTGCAATTTTTATGCTTATTTTTTCTTTAAATTTAACTGAAATTTTCTGATTGTGGTTTTCTTTTTCTGAATAAGTATATTTTTTTTTCTTTCCTTAATTCTTACCTTACTGAAATGCCAAGTTGTTGTTGTTTTCTTTGTTTTTTTCCCTAAGTTACTGAATAATTTTTTTTTTTTTTATAATGTTACATGTATGTTCAGTGTCTTAAATCTCTTAACTACATTGAAGTATTCATGGAAGGCCAATTTCCAGCTGAATATTAAGTAAAGATGAGTTTTGTACAGTTTAGCCATAAACCAGCTTATTTTCACACAATCTTAAATTCCATAGTAATTTTTTCTCAATTTTATTGCATTTTGTAATTATCTCTTGTGTTCTTTTTCCTTTATAATAATGGCTCCATATAATTAATGTGTACACAGGGTGAGATAAGAAATGTGATTTGCTTTCTCGCACACACATATAAATAAATATAAATTTTTTTGACCTTTCTATTTTCTCTTTTTAATCAGTTTTTTTTTTCTATTTGGGAAATTTTACTGAATGTATTTACAATGTGCAGTCAAATGTGTCCTTTGCTTAAATTGTCAAATATTTTTGGATAATTACCATTTTTCAGTCTATAGCCTTGTCAAAGTGTGATTGAAAATCTGTCTCAGCATTCCCACAACCTTTCTCTGCTTTACAGACATTGAAGACAAGCAAGATGACAATGTGACATGTGAAACTAACCGAACTGTGATCCCACCAAAAAGGGATTATGTTCCTACTAATGATCTCCACAAACAACAAAATCAGCAGCATCATTACCCCACAAGATCACAACAACACCAAAATTTTCAACCTAATTACCAGTGTAAGTTTTTCTGGTTTATTTATTTGCTTAGGATAATTATTTAAATAATCAGTTTTTCATCAACATAGCTTTAGTTCTTCAATGGGTTTTTTTTGTTTTTTTTTTTTGTTTTTTAAAAAAAAAAAAAAATTTGTGGAGAAAATGGATTGAAGGCAAAAAGAAAAGGGAAGTTTTGACTAAAATGGATGAGATAATTGTCTTTTTTTTTGGGAGAAATTTTTTTTTTTTTTACAAAGTTTATATTTTTATTGCTGAAATTTGAATCTGAAAGATGATTATCATATTTTCTCAGTAACATTTCAACACAACTCCTCCTCATATAAAAAGAAACAAAATTACTCAGGTTAAAAAGAAAAACTATTTCTATTTTTACTTTTGGAATTAATTAAAAACCAATGCCTAGTAACAAAGCTTTCAATATTAATAGCTCATTTTGAGTACAATGCAATTCATAGAGATTAAATGGTGACTGTCATTTTATTACAAGTTTTATTCTACCCTATTCTTACTGTTTTATTTTTATGAAAATATGTGAAAAGTTTGGAAAATAACTTGCTTTTTAACAACAGATGTAAGTGCAGAAATGGTTGAATATAAAGAATTTTCTTTAAGAATCAAGTATATTTTGATAAGTTTTGAATTTAGAATGTTTTTGTTTTACTCTATAAAGTAGCTAAGAAAATTGTTTACATTAAATGACTTGTGTTTTTCCAGCTGGCCATGGAAGACCTGTTCCTCGGCATCTTAATACAACTCTGGAAGTTCGTAAAATACCAAGAGACCAAAACAATATTGCAAAATTAAATGAGCATTTTGGAAAATTTGGTGTTTTGAAGAATATTCAAGTGAGTTCATTTACCCCAAGTAAAAGGAGAAACTGGCTGGTTAACAAGTCCCAATTCTTTGCTTTGTTTTTTTAAATCACTTTTTCTTCAGGAGTTTATCTAAAAATAAAGTTACAAGAAATCAAACCATTTCAACTGATGAAAATGTCAATTTAATGAAAGTTTTTTTTTTTTTTTTCAGGTTATATTTGAGTAAATGCTAATTTAAAAATATCTTAGACTTGCAAGCATTCTTATATGTGGAAGATATACACAAATCTATATATCAGACTAATTGAATGATAAAATAGAAAAACTCTCATGTTATGTATTTCATGACCCAAAAGGACTTCTTCAGACTCATAATGGTTTTACCAATGGGATCTTATGCATATGGGGTAGGTGTACAACAAATGTTGGTTACAATTTTACATCAAGAAATACTGAAGATATAGGAACATTTAGAATTGGATGTAAAAAATTTAAACCTGTGTCCTTGAATCATTGTTTCTCAATGTAAAATTGTAACTGGCATTTTATTTTTTATGACTTCATTAATAATACCATTGTTAATTTGAAAAAGTCCTTTTTGTATGACAAAATTTATAATGTAAGAGTTTTTTCAATTTTTTTGTCATTCAATTACCTATTTTTAAATGTCAATCTTGTACTTTTTTTATAAGATGAATTATTGTTAATCATTATTAATTTCAGTATTTCTTCATTGCAACTATTCACACTGACATTGTGTGACTTTTAGTAAAGAGCATTGATCAGAAATGAAGAATAAACAGTTGGTGAGACTCAAACTCATAGTGTCACAATAAGACAATTTCTCTTGAGTAAAAGAGATGCAAGTTTAACTGTTGCCAAGAGGTTATTTATTTCCAATCTATGCTGTTTACTAATTGGCTGTAGAATGAATATTTGTGATGAAAGAAATACAAACAAAAAAAACATTAATAATGGTTGATTATTTTTGTTATTTTACATTCCTTATTCATTCTTGATTCTATACAGTAAAATCTAAATTGTGAATGACCTGTTTTTTTTTTTTATAATGTTTATTTTTTTTTTTCTTTAAGGTATCATTTGAAAATGATCCTGAAGCAGCCTTGATTACCTTTGCTAATCATAGCCAAGCCAACACAGCATACAGGAGCAGTGAACCAGTATTTAATAACAGATTTATTAAAGTGTTTTGGCATCGAGAGAAATTACCAGATCAGAACCCTGTAAGTATTTTGTTCCTTTTAATTGTGTAAGGTTTGGTTTGAAATAATTGGTTTATTGAGTAACACAAAAATACTGTTTCCAAATACCTGGAAATGTGTTCTGGTGTCAGGGTCATTATTGTTAAGAGTTCATATGTAAAATTTAAATATAACAGAGGAGGTTCAAATATCTTGTTAATTAGCATAGAATATTGCCAGAAGTAAACAAAGCTATACAATGTAGTGAAATAAATATCATTTTCTCAGCAATCCTGAATTCTGAGTTAGTAGTGAAGTCTCTCAAAGTATAGGCACATGTCTGATTCAATACTTTGTGTTAAAATGGCACAAAAGAAATGAATATTTAATCCAAGACTGAGAGTGGAAAGAGACTGATTTGGGTAGTTTCCAGTTTAAATTGGATGATGCTTGCCATTGTTAAAACCTCTGAAAAACCTAGTTGTTTTATTTAGAAACCAATTTTGGATAATTCAAATATCTGATCCTTACACTTGGATTGACTTGTCTGACACAAAGCCAACATCACACTATAGCACCTTTTAATTCATGTAGTACTGTATATCTAATATGCTTACCGTTACACTATGAACTCCCAATGTACATCCTAAATGCTCACATATTTTTATTTAAACTTCAGGCAAACAGTGTTGTAATTTTTATGTCCTATACTCTTGCACAGATTTCAAACCAATTTGTTCAATTTCTCAAAGATTTTCTTCATAGCTTGCCAGTTAATATTTTTTTATTATTTTCATTAAAAATGTTGAAAATGTAAAACCAGTTATTGAATCAAGTGAAAGATTTATTTTGTTTTATTGCAGCCAAATACTTCCTCTAGTTCTGTAACCCGAACAACTTCTGTTACTCCTCAAACTGATCATCGAATGCCAGTCAAAGCCAGACTGGGTATTCCTGCCCCTAATTTGCTCAGTTTGGATAACACAGTACCAAAGAAAACAGAAACTGCTGAAAAGGTAAAAATCCTATTTCTGTATTTAGCAATAAAAGAAAAATCAAACTACCCCAATCATAATAAATGTTTTTAGCTTATGAAATATTTTAGATTTACTAGCTTCCAAGAATTCTACTCTCTCTTTTTTTTTTTTTTTTTTTTTTTTTTGTTTTATGTGTATACTGAACAAAGTCTATTCAAAAATAAGTCGATTTTATGAAGGGCTTTTATTGTAAAGAATTTGAAAAATAATTTTTTTTTTTTTTTTTTTTTTTTTGTAGATCTATTCTGTCTGTAAAAAATATATTCATTTTAGCTAATTTTTTTTTTGGGTGGGGGGTGTCAAAAGTTCATACATAATGCTTTAATTTGAACTTTAGGATTCAATTTGACTCCATTGGTAAACTGAATAAGTTGCAAACTAGCATCCTTTAAATTTAAAACATTTTTATCTTGTAGACTTAGGCTATTTGTTAGAAAAATTATGGAGAGAAGATAAATAATTTTTTATTTATGTTGTTAAAGTAGGAATACATTTTAGATTTTAATGCCCTTTTATGTTACCAAGTATATTACATTACTGTATTTCTTAAACAATTTTTCTTAATACTAATTTCCTTGAAATCGATGAAGTTAAAATTTATAGGAAATACATTTCTGTGCATGGCTGATATCTCCAGCAGTTATTGTGAAATTGAGATACACTAATGGAAAATTGCAATGCCCTGGAGAATAAGGCTGATTTTGACATGTGTACAGTATGTTCATGCTCAGTGGTAGCAGATATTCTGATAAAATTTTCAGTCTTTAGGCATCATTGATGCTCATACCAGTGCAACATCTGTTTTTGAGCCTTAGATTGTAATGTTATACTTTGACAAGGTTCACTGAAAGAATTACATGGCATGGAGATGCACATTAGCTCTTTTTATTCGGTTAGATATTTCAGACAAATCAGATTGTAGGCCTAGGGATATGACACATTAGCCATTCTTTAATGCTGGCAACATTGGTTAAATGAAAATTCTTACTCTTGTAGAACAGTTTCTAGATAGCTACATAGTACAGATGCTCATCAAGATTGATGCACTGTGAGGACAGCAGTGACAAACTGCATGACATGTACAACACTCTTCAAAGCAAATTTGACCCCAAAAGTGTGAATGCAGCATGACTCCAGACACATCTCTCTATCCTGACCTCTGTTTATGCCATGACACCATTGTGTACATTCTCAGTAGTGTCACAAGAGGGTTATGGGGTTTGAGTATTTTTAATACAATCCTAATTTTTGGAACCTGTAAATGTATTGAATTTTTTTTCTTCACTGTATTCCAGCCATTACCTGTAAGTACCTTTTTAATTAATATTCAGGGTGTTAAAATTTTCTCTGTCAGTGTATAAATCAAGGATCATGAAATGATTAAATAAGCTTTATTTGTATTCTTTATTTCATGAAATCTTGTCATTGGATATGAATGTTTTTGATTTATAATTAAAGGCAATTGTGTTTACTACATCGATGGGGCACCTGACCAAAACAGTATTCAATCCTGCAGCCATGAAATCTAAAGTCAACACTCTAACTACATCATCATCATCAACCACTTCTACAACCAAAATCATTTCTACAGACAATACTAGTTTTACAAAGACAGATTTAGCTACTTCAAAAAAGACAATTCCCAAAAAGGTACTAACCATTTTTGTGATTTCTGCCTATCATAAAATAATTTCATTTTCTTGTATCTTTTTAATTTTATTGTCACTGTTCTTTTTTCTCCTCCTCCACAAGAAAATATTCTTTTGAAATTTACATAAAGTGTTTTCTCTTGAATAATTTGCTAAATTTTGTAAATATCTGGTGAAAGCAATTGACATGAATCCTTTCTTCATTTATTGTCTTTGTTCCTTACTTCACACTTTCTCTCCTTTCAAGTATTGCTCAGAACTTATTTTTCTTTCATTTATTCTAAATTTCTGTTAGCATAGTGTATGTAAGTAGTGCACTGATAATTGTTTTTCATTTGCTTAATTGCTATGAGTTTTGCATGTTTTTTGTTGTTTTTTTTTTTTTGTTGTTTTTTTTTTTTTGTTTGTTTTTTACTTTCACTTGTATTTATCAAGCTTGTCAGGAATTTTCTTACATATTGATTTTTTTACTTATAAACTTTTACTTAATGCAATTTACTAATTTTATTTTTAGGACAGCATTCTGAAGAAAGTGCAAAAACAAAGACATGAACTTTTGACCAGTTATCTTCAACAGCAAAAAGTAAGGATTTTAGAGACCCATTTAGTCAGTAGAGTTTGACAAGTCAATGTTGATTATTTCACTTCTGCAATTCAAGATTCAACTCCTCATTAATTTATTATCATTTCTACTAACACACACACAGAAAAGTTTTCATCTCTATCAACTTCATAAAATCTGGTCTATTGGAAAGTGAAACAAGTATTTGGAAAGACCTGAAAAGAACATACCTTGTCCTAATTATACTTCAGCCATTCACCCCCTTTTTTTTTTTTTTTTTTAAATACACAAGTAGATAATGTGCAGTATGCTAAGCACTGCATACGATGAAGCACCTGATCAAGTATTGTGACTTTACTTTCACTGGACAGCAATTTTAACAATGCAAACAGCATTCAAAACCATCACGATGGATGACCTATTACCCTTCATTCAAGAAGTGGGTCTATAATCCAAAATATGAGGATCTGACTAGACATTTGTTATTTGAAAATTATTAGTTATATGGTGGCAGCCTACTTATTATTGAATAATACTTTTTCTTTTTGGTTATTTATTATTTTGTGTCTAGAAACATCAGGGGTACAATGAGTCATTGTTTGGCTAACATGTCCTTAGATTTACATATACTGACATTTGGAATAGGTAGAATTACCTGCTGAATTGTTACAACAGATAACAGTTGTTGGCTGGACACTGACAGCCTGATGAATTTTCATGTTTTAAGCCACCTGAGCCTTTGAGAGTCTTACTAAATTCCAGGCACAGGTAATTGTTTTCAACAGGGTAATGGATTTTGGGTTGATTGTTATGTGATCATGTGTGAAATTAACCAGCATTTAAAAGACAAATGCAATTACAAAGATTACATAGAATTGAGCTTTGTCATTTGCTGTAACTATTAAAGTCAGATCATCCCCTTTTTTCACTGCTCATTTCAGTTGTACACATTCTATACATCTTGTTTCATATTCAATTACTCAATTACCACCTTAATGATTGTCTACTCCAGTGTTCTGCTCTTAGTCTCTACTTCCCAATTTTCACAAATACCTATTTTCTTTAATGTATCTATTGCACAGTCTTTATAGTGTTTGTTCAGTTTATATCTGGGTTGCCCTGTAAAGCACCAATTCATTATAGTAAAATTCCCTTTCTATTACACCCAACGTTGTGTGTTTATTAAAAAAAAAAAAAAAGTGTTGATAAAAATTGCCTGAGGATACTGTAAGGTTGAAACCAAGGTAGCAGATTCAACTGACCTGATTCTTATGGTTAACAGCTCTACATGTTATTTTTACTTTTATTTTTTTCACATGTGTATTGAATGCTTTTTAATACTACTGTTTCTGGGTCTGATTCAACTCTTTACTATTAACCTTTATACACATATATATATTAAAAGATTTATGGAAATGTTCTTAATAGTAATTAATGTAGAAGGGCTAACATTAAAACTATTTATCCATTACATTATGAGTTTTGTCCTAATTAAAAAAAACAAATGTCTGATTTAGATATGAAATGTTATAAAATCAACCAATCTAATCAAGGCATCAGTTGTTTTTTTTTTTTTGTTTTTTTTTTACTTTTTTAGCTTATGCTTTTCAGAAAGAGTTTGGTTTGCCTTTGTTAGTTAAATCTAATAGTCAGATCTTGTAACAACTAACTCACACTTACTTTCATTAAGGGGATTGAATATATTTTCTTTTTATTATACTGCATCTAATGTTAGATGCATCAACACATAGAAATAATTGTGTGGACATTTTTTATTTTTTATTTTTTTTTATTTTTTATTTTTTTTTTTTGCAGATATTGATAAAGAAATATGAGGATAAAAGCAGTCCTCCTGAAACAAAATTCAAAATTAAAGAGGTACATTTTTAATATTTATTATTTTAACAATGCATGGTCAGCAAGGAGTGAAAAAAATGAATTAATTTTAATCACTTTTTGGGTTTTAGTGTAGTGCATTGTAAAATTTCTTGTTCTTTTAAATTTGGCCAGTGGTTCATATTTAAAAAAAAAATTCTTACTTTTGTGCTAAAAATACTTAAGCTAACTAAACTCTAATTATGTGAGTTAACAATCATTAATTGATGAAATGTAATAAAGATATTTCTCTTACAAAATTTCTTTTGTTAAAGTGAATAAAAACATTGAGGATAAGTATGAATTTCAAATTAAAAAATCTTTTAGCTTCAAATTACTTTTCTAATTTAATTTCAGCAAATTGACAATCTTACTACTGTGATAAAGAAACTTCAAGAGGAAATTACCCCAAAGAAGTCTTCTGAGATGTTCAAAGCTAAATCTTCAGTAAGCTTTTTGTTTGTTTGTTTGTTTTTCTTTTAAGAATTGTTTTTGTATCTGCACAACTAAATAATGATAAAGGTCTTTTAAGACATTTGTTGACAATTCTTGATTGAAACACAAATCTTTAAGCAATATTTGTTGTAGAAGTGATTAAGCAGATTCAACAAAAACAGTATCTGTATCTTATTTGCATAGAAAAGAACTTCATCTCTTGAAAGAAAATTTATACAGTTTGAATTTTCATAAAGATGGAACTTGAATTAAGACTAAATATGCAGGCTTCACAAACAAATATCTCATCCTGTTGCAATTCGCAAAATAAAGTAGGACTTTTATGAAAAATGCCCTTTTTTTTTATTTTTTTTTATTTTATTTATGTTACAATTCAGTTTGAGTTTTTTCTTTGTCATGTGATAGGCTGTTACTGCTGCTGCTGTTACTGCCGCACCTACTGCTAATAGTCAGAAAACCCAAAAGGAGATCTTGGACACTGAATTGGAATTGATTTCTAAGCAGAAAAGTGGGGAAGACACCACAGAATTGCGTAAAAAATTAATAGAACTGACCCAGGAGGTAATTCTACTCAATTACTTTCCTGCTGTATTCATTCTTCTGTGGAAATTTTTATTCTTAGTCAAGATTTATATTTATAAAGTTGTAACTATGTTTGTTTTTAATCTCCTTTAAACTTGAAGGTTTTTTGGTCCTTATGCTTATTTTCATTTTAAGAAACAAAATTTGTTTATTTTTATTTATTTTATTATTTTATTTATTTATTTTATTTCATTTGGCTTAAAGGCTGAAGACTTATAAGAATTTTTTATTTAACTTAAAATAAATTTTGATTAATCAAACTTTTGGTCAGTAGGCAAAAGAAAAGCTTTTCTTTGTATTGAACTGAAGGCAGAAAAATACTTGTAAGTGAATATTTGGAAAGGCTGTGGATAGAAATTTAGATTCATTTATAAGCTTAAAACTCCTGTTGTCTGTTACAACTTTTTTTTTCTTAAATGTGACTTTAAAAAAAATGATTTGTGTCAGTTGACTTATCAACAGCAGTCTTCTTCATCAGGATGTTCAACCTGCTTTTAAGCATTGATTTCTGTATTTAATAGCTTTTGGTATTTGTGTTTTTCTTGTTAAAAAGCAAAAAAAAGTAAATCTACAGGTGTTTGATAATTTGATTTTAAATTAAGATATTTAATATTGTTTGTAATAGATTTGTATATTTAGCTTATAAAGTTTAATCATTTTTCTGTAAGGTTAACCAGAAATAGATTTTTTTTTTTTTGTTAGACTGTTTTTTTACCTTTTTGTTTGCATGAGAGAAATGTAGTGTTTGTATGTGTTATTTCTTCAGAATTATTCTTTTGACATACATTAATAAATCTGCAATCTAAAATATTATACAGTGAAAATTCCAGGCCAAAATTCAGAATTACCACCGTTTTTTTAATGCACTTGTCAATTCATCCAACTACTTTCTTAAGAAGGTTTGATTTCCTTTGTGTAATTTGTCAGTAATGATGATTGGTTAAAAGATCAAAATTTTTAACTTCATTTTTTTCAATTACAGGCTGCTGCTCTTGGCTTGTTACCTCGAGGTCGAGGAGGTCGAGGCATTATTAGAGGTGGAATGAGAATGCGTGGGAATTCTTGGGCACGAGGAGGACGTGGCCTCAAAATGATCACATTCAGTCGATCTCTGGATAACCGACCCAAACAAATTCATGTATCTGGCTTCGAGTCAGATCAATATAAAAACATTATAGCACACTTTTCTGTAAGTTAAATTTTCACTTTACTCCTTACTTGGATTAAAGTGTTTAAGAAGGAAATATTTAGATGAAGCAAATGTTATTTTCAAATATTTGGAATTTATTGATAGCTTTGAAACATATTCAGTTGCTCTTTAAATATATTTAAAATTATTAAAATGTGTATTGTATTAGAATATTTCTTGTACATAGCTGATATAATTATATTTGTAATTTTTTACTTTAAAATAAGTAGTTTTAGTGAAGAATTTAATGTAAAAATGAAATGCTAGTCTTGACAGCTTTAAGGTGATATCTTTCTTACCATCCAAATATATCCAACTGATTTTGTTTGCTGGTATTGAATAAATGTTTATCTTTTCCCCTTTGCTTTATGCTGATAATTATTTGAACACTTGGAAGTTTTATACTTTTGTTGATGCAAACAAGGTTTAACTAGTTCAAATTTCTGTTACGCATTTTCTTCAGTAATTCTTTTAATTTGTAGAAATTTTTTTTAACCTGCAGAAATAAATTTGGTTTTGTTGGAAAGCCAAATGAATAAGACTTACAGTAACAGTTGTTTGACTTTGTATTTTTTATCTTTTACTCATTAAAAAAAAAAACTGAATGTATTTATCATGTTTATTGTTTTAAGATTGCAATTTGAAGGACAATTCAAATGTTTTCTAATTTTTTCTTTAATAGAAGCTTTACGTAAGATTATTCATATTTGGAAATTTTATGATTTAGATATTTTAATGTCTTATTGAATATTTCATAATTCCCCTCTCCTTTCTGCACATGTGTAGTCACATCAGCGTAAATATCCCTTTAGTATGACAAAATCCTAAAGGATGAAATGCATCATGCCAATACTTTGTCATAGATTTCCCTAAAATTGTCCTTGATATATAAAAATCTATATATTGTCTTCCTGTTTATATTTCTTTACACTGTTGAAGGATTTTTATATTGTCTTCATTTAATTTTTTTTTGTTTTAGTTATTCTGTGAAGTCATTAAATCGGAGCCTGATGCAACAGAGACCAGTGTCATACTTACATTCAAGAGCCGGCAAGATGCTGAGAAGGCAAGTAGAATTCATTTGATAATTTTTGTTGAGTCTTGTAAATAAATCTTTTTCAGAATTTAATTTTCAATTATTATCATTTAACATTATTTAATTTTTCTTAAAAATTGTATTTATAAAAATTACTTTCATTAGTGAACCCAAGTTTTCACATAAAAAAATATAGCTATAGTTGTAACATCCATGTGTTTGAAATCCTTGACTTGTTCTCATATTTGTTTACTCACTGTAATTAAAACAGGAATTTGAGTTGTTGCTGAGTTTTTCTCTTTGTAACATGTCAAAATTTTTTCTTTTCTCTGTCGTCTTTCAGGCTGTCACAAAATGTAAACGATACAAAGACAAAGATCTGAAAATTCAGTGGTATATTCCAGGTTCCACTATTACAACTGACTCAAGCTCTTTAGATCTTGAAGAAACAGAAGTGGTATGACTTTTAAGTTTCCATAAATTGTTCTGTTGTTCCTGTAAATTGATATTTCTGAAGTTGATTTGTATTTAGAGTAAAAGAAACTGAAGTGGAAATAAGAATCTAAGTAGGAACTTTCTGATGCTCTTTTAAGTTTCTCTTCATCTTGATTAATGCTTTGTAAAAGCTTAGATGATGATAAATGCTTAAGTACATGCCCTAGTGATCGGTGCTGATCTGATAGATTATCTGTAATTACAAGAAAGAATGCTCTGATATAGCTCCTTTATTGGAATTTAAATGTATCTGTCACAAATTTTTGGGAGAAAAGATAATCAATGTGAAATGGAATTTTTCAATGTAATATTGGGTTGACCATAAAGTTGATTAAATTCCCTAATTACTGTTCTCTTGCTGGAAGAGGACAGATTATTTAATATTATTCAAAACAATCAAGAATGCAATTGATTCTCCAAAGTTGTGTTTTCATTTTTTATTGAACCCTTGCTTGATTTAACAAGTGCTCAATATATTTGCTTAGATTTAATGTTTTTGTTTTTTTTCTGTTTAGCACAGTTTCTGTGATAGGGTGGTGGCTATTATACCTATTTGTAGTGGTCTGCTATAATTTTTATTCTCCTTTTCCTCACAGGTATAATTTAACCGTTTCTATTTTCCAGCTGCCTCACTCACCATCTTACTTGACTGACTTGGATGATTCCTTGTTGGCTGCTGATGATGAAGATGAAGAGGATGAAGAAAGTCGTTCCTGGAGAAGATAACTTTCACCACACCATCACCTGACATGACCTATTGTTGATTGACAACAAGTAAATAAGCCCCCTTATTTGAAAAATGACTTGTCACATTTCTCCTCATGTAAATAATTGGGAGATTTCTGATGCAGCCAACTTCAAGTATGGCACTGTTTACTGCAGAACTAACTTTATGCTCTGCTATTACGACAGACTTGTGTAATATAGCATATGTAAATTAAAGGGTTGTCAGATTTTTTTCATCCTGCAGAAAAACTTTATTCCAGTTTCATGGCTATTTTCTCAAACTTCTTATTTGTCTGTTTCTGTTTTTATAACACACACTCATGTGAGTAAAAACCAGTTTTAGTTCTCGGCATTTAAAAATATATATATATATATATATATATATATATATATATATATATATATATATATAATAAAATTGATTTAAAATGTTTGTTTTTTTTCGCTACACAGTTCTAACCATGTTTCAAAAATATACTTTTGGGTATGTCTTTTGTCATCTGAGATGATCTTGAATAATTTCTAAAACCTTTCATATCCTACTTTTCTATTAAGTTTCTTATTCACTATTTGTGAAATGTTTATAATATCTCCCCACTGCCAATTTAATGTTACAGATATAATTCAAGTAACATTCCTCTCAGAAGTTTATTTGCCATTTTATAGTTGAATTTTTGGAAATTAATCTTGAAATGAAACTTGAGAGGAGTAAGAAATGAGCCAATTTTAATAAAAAGTAAATCAATAGGTTACTTATCTCAGTTTAGTACAAAATCTTTTTCTTGAGTTTTAGGTTATTTTACATCATTTTGGAAATATATGAAAGTAAACTAGATGTTAACTCTTTATGCACATCAAGAAAATAAGTGTACAGCACATTACATAAAGAACCCAAAGCTAATTTTGGCTGTGTATAGGTTTTTAGCTGTAAGTTTTATGCTATTGTTTATTTGGCTTGAATTCACACTGCCGAATCTTTAAAAAAAAAAAAAAGTACTAAAAGTTCATTATAAGGCACTTAGGTAAAATGTGAAATTTTATAATGAAACAAAAATCTGATTAATGTAAATTTAGCATTCTTTCTTTAATAACATCTTCGTAAGTTACACATTTGATTGAATCTTGGTTGTTTCTTGATATTTCAGACATTTGAATTTCATAGATTTACCCTGTATTACCTATGATATTTCTTTATCTTGGGAAATCTTTTTAGTCTTTCATTGAATAAAGATAGTGTATTTGCTATCTTTATTCAATGAAAAAGGTATATGCTTATAGAATAAATGCTTACATTTAAATATGAATTTTATTCAAGAATAAGGTTATTTCAAATTTCCAAATAAAATATTTTAGCTTGTGATTTATTTTCTTTGAAAGAAAATCTAATTTTAATTTTTGAATTTTATTTCTTTATATTGTTTTAGTCTGTTATATTTTATCAACTGAAAATGTTTTTGATAACTTACATTATTTTGTATTATGTTGATTTCTGAGACAATATAGTAAATTTAGTAAGTTTTTGTCTCGTTGTCAAGGAGACTGAGGAATATATGTAGCCCCATAAACTAAAGAATGGTGTTTTTACTGCAGAGATGACAACTTTTATTTTTATTATTTTTTTTATTTTTTTTAAAGACTCCTTAATGGAGTGTTTCTTGTTTTATCTAATGTTTGGTTTTGTTGCCTTTCCACTTTCAGATTATATTTTCTCTTTTATGGAAGGCAGATAACACTAAGCTATGGATTTCCTAATTTGTAAAAAAAAAAAATATAGATTTTACCAAAAACTTTGCTCAAGCAGTTTTCGCTTTAAAACTTTATTTGACTAAAGAAAAAAAAATTTATGTATAAAGATTGCTGTTATTTTCCCAAATGTTTTCTTTGTATTGTTTTTGATCTGCCTGATTTTTTTTTTCTGATTTTTAAAAAAAAAAAAAAAAAAAAAAATTTAAGAAAAGAAAAAAAAAATTGTCCTGCTCGAGTTTGAAAATAAAACTGGAAAAAAAGTGAAAAAAATAAAACTAAAAAAAACCCAAAAAACCTAAGAATTAAAAAGGTTACAAAAAAAGAAAATGAAAAAAATTGAAAGAAAAAAAAAAGAAAAAAATATTTGTAGAGCATGGATAAATTTTTTCAAAATCAGGTTAAAAAAAAAAAAAATATGCACCAATAAAAAAAAAAAAAAAAAAAAAAAAAAAAGGAAAAAAAAGAAAAAAAGAAAAAAGACCTAAAAAAAAAAAGAAATAAAAAAATAAGATTTCGTTGATGGGGAAAAACAGCTGTTAATAAAATTGTTGAAAACCATGAAAAAATTGTATGGAAAGTATAATCTTTCCAACTATACACTATATTTTTATTACTTACTTGGTCAGGATCTTAGAAGCTTCAATACTTTTCTAAGGAGATTTATACTAAGAAATCCTTACTTTATATAGTTATTTATAGCATTAAGTTGGATTTTATAAAGGAAAACTGCATAATTGTCTTGTTTGTACAACTATTGTGATTCAGAAACTTGAAGTACTTTAAAAATTAGGATTTCACTGCAGAAATATTCCTTGTATTAATATATAAAGTTTTATTATTATTATACATTGGCCTTTCTTCAGTGTTCTAACATTTGGTTTCCAACTATTGTTGGATTAGAGAATTTATTTGCAAAAATTCTTGAATTTTAAAATTAAATTACACAAAATTATTTTGCCTGGCTTTAGTAAAAAAAAAAAAAAAAAAGAATCCTATTTTTATTACTTTTTTTTTTCTATAGTTACTATTTTTTCTCAGTTTAGTAATCTACATTATTTAGCTTTATTATAATCCTTGCTATTGATATATAAGATATAACTTGACAATAATTTATGATTATAAGCTCAAACAAGACAAGTAACTTCTATTAGAAAAATTTTTGATTATGGTTATTTGAATGCTAACATTGATTTGAATAGTTTTAATTAAATCACTGAAGCTTCTATTAGATCCTACTAAGGTCAAACTGTTTTCTACCAGTTTCTGGCCAGTGTATCCTGGTCATCTTCATTTGGCAGCTATACCCCAAATCCAGCAGGTATCTCCATGGTGCTTTGGTGAATTTCCCTTTGTGGAATTGGCGATGTTGCTGCTTCACCTGTCCTTTAAGTGGACTGTACAGGGTGAACATATTACCCAGGTAACTTAGTATCTTACTTTCTATAAAACATACATACACACACGTTAGTGAAACTGAATCCTTTGTATCAGTAAGCAATATAAAGTGAAAGAACTATTTTCTTTGTGGTTGTCAACATTAAAACAAAATAATGCCAAATCTGTCTAACCCATTTTCCATCATAATATGAAAAATGGATTTTTATTTCCTCCTTTCATACTGTCGTTAAAGATCTTTGTTCTTGCAAATATAAGCAAAGGGCTGGGTTGGATTTGTTTTTTAAACTCTTATGGTCAATTTTAAAGTTCCATTTAGTACAGAATTAAGCATTATAGTTTATTGATGAGGTAGATAGTCATATAATCAACCAAATGAACTACAAATTTATCCATTTTACAGATTGCACTGTGTCAAGAGTACAGATATAAAAAAAATCATTAAACTACTATGACCAAAATGGCAGTTTATGCATATGTTCTAAATATGCATATCTCTGCGACTTCCACATTGTCATTTTTATGGAATTTTGCATTATTTTTTAGATTCGGCCAGATTTTCAACAAGTCACCCAAGAAAGTTGAACTGAGTTGTTGACTTAGGAAACTTGAATATTTCTTTATATTTCAACAATTATGCCTTCTTAATTTCTGAAGTTTGGAAATAGAATTGCTGGATATGCCAACTATAGTGTATGGGACATCATCTGAGAAAAATACAAGATAATCTTACTTATTACTGCAGAACTACAAAATAAAAATAATAAAAAAAAACTTCATTTCTATTTAGTGTAAGTGACTAAAGAGGCGGGAACTTGTTTTTTTTTTTTTTTTTTGTATTTCTAGAAGTTTGTTTCTCAAGAACAAGCATTTAGCAATTGATTTTAATTTAAATGTGCAACAGTTCCATCTTGTGATATTGTGATTTTATCTTCATATCTGACAATTCATAAACTTGAAATATTTGAACATTTTGGGTTTTAAAAACAATAGGTCATCTCATTGAGTTTATTGCATTTTAAATAGTTGAAAAAGAACTATATTAAAATTTGGCTCTTTAATGAATTTGAAGTTTTAGGTGTTACCTGTAACTATTAACTGAAATGTAGAATATTACTGTAGTAAAAATGGTAAAATGACTTGATATGCTAACTATAAAGTAATTTTAAACTTTCTCTTATGATTTCTGTTGTCCTTACTCTTCTACCTATTCTTTTTATGTCACTTAGGCATACACTTTTATTCTTTATATAAATTATATTAGCTGTAACTTCAAAGGCTTTTATATTTTCAAATTGTTTAACACTGACCATTTGTGGGAAAAGGAGTTGCTTCTGATTTTAATTTTAGATATAAAAAAAAACTTATATACTGGTTTTTAAAGCTTTATTCTTGAATATAACCTATTTGTTTCAAAAGTATCTTAAAAATTAATATCAGTTTTTGCTTTAAAATGACATTTGAACTGCTTTTGAAATTCTATAGCAGTTTTCAGGTGGAAAAGTGCATATAAAAGCTATAAATTAAAGGTAAAATATAAACTTGTTTCCTAATATTTCTTGTAAACATCTCCAAGTTTAAAAAAAAAAAAATATGTTAGTCATGTCATCTACCATGCACTTTTTTTCTTATCAAAATTGCGATTTGGGTTTAAGGGTGCATTCTATTCAGAATTTTTTTCCCTCCTCGTTTACACAGTGTACCTCCTTAAGAAAATACTGAGGCAAGAAATGCAAGTTTCTCAACATTGGAAACATTAGGGTTGGCTTTTACTTTTCAGAACAAGCTTTATTTTATCAATTTTTAATAGTTCTCTCCCTTAAAATGTTTTTGGTCTTTTTCTAAAGCAGGAGTTTCAAATTCAAAGGTACAAAAGGGCAATTACAAGGTGCAGCAGGCCAGAAGCAGTAGATCCCAACCTAACCATGGGGTCGAAGGGTGCCTTTATTGACAAGCTCCTAATGAGGGATGCACACACTCATGAAGCTGAATTAAATCAGTCAGTAATCGGAAGGAGGTGCTGGCAGGAAAGATTTTGCACATATGCTAGTTTGTGTTTAAGTACAACTTCAAAAAAAAAATTATGCATAGTTTTTCAAATGTGGGACAATTGACAACGCTATTTATATCTGACAAAGTATAAATATCCCCACTTTTCTTGAAAGTTTCAGTTCTTGACAATTTTCCTTTTCTTTGATATTGGCATTTTTCTTTTTTGTTTCAATTATGTAGTTGAACGCATCAATATTCTCTCTAATCTCTTTCTAACATGATTTTCTGTTGGTGTGTGTTAGTTACCTTTTATCTCATGTACCCCACTCCATACCAATATGTGATCAGGTCTATTCCTCTTTATGATAAAAAAAAAACAAACCATTTTTGTTGTCTACATACACATGCCAATATGAGTAGTCAAATATATCCCATTTCACCTTGTATACAAAAAATATAATATATTTTTATACAAAAAAAAACAAAAAAAAACAAAAACTTGTTTATAAAGATTTGATTTTCACTTTCCCTAACAGGAGTTATCAAATTTATTTCTTTTTATAAAAGAAAAGAGAAAACTTTGTGACGAAGTACATTTATAATCTCTCATCAGGTACCTGATTAAAAAAATATGTAGTGGTGGAGAGGTTGACTTTTCTTCCCTTTCCTGGAGACGAACCTGAACAGACCATAGTGACATTAAAATTGACCTAATGTCTGTTGCCACTTAGTGGGTAGTTCAAGCTCAGTACGGCTACCTCAAAAGTATGGAAGTGGCAAGGGATAAATTTAACATTTGAGAAAAATATTGATCACAAAAAAGATTCCCTACAGATTGCAGAAAGATCATATTCAGTCTGTGTGTAAGACCCCTGTTCTAAATAAGAAAAAATAGAAATAATGTGCTGTTTCATTTTGAATTCTGAAATTGGTTTGAGGATTGCTTCTAAAGGATTAAATTGCAGAAAGCCAGTTTTTTTGGGTTTTTAACAGTATAGTTGAATTACTGGATTTTGAGTAATTTTTAGAATATTTTGCTTTTTATTCAATAAAGTGAAATTGATATTTGTAGATATTGCAGATTTTACAGGTATGTAAGCATGCCATGATTAAAAGACAATTGTAAAATTGTAGATGAATATTTGACATAAAATTTCTTCCTATTCCTTAGAGGAATTCTCATGCTTGTGGAATACTGTTACCAGATGTCTTTGTGGACATCATTCAATCTGAAGTATTTCCTAATTTGTTTCTTAGTGTAGATATTAAAAATGAAAAATGTTCCAAATTGAAAATAAGAATTTGGAAGGATCATTCTTTTGAGCTTTATGGTATGTTAGAAAATCTTTTATTCAAACTGATGTGAAAAAATGATGGGGGGCGGAGATGGTTCAAAATGATTAAAATTTCTAATGTTTGTAGTAAATCCTACTATGACTAAAGTGATGAGTGCAAAATAGTGCAGTTGATTAAACCTTTTTTTTTTTCTGTATCTGCCCCTTTTTCTGAAAGGGCTTCAAGTTAATACCTCTCAATCCATTTTTCAGTGATCTTAATATACCTTGTCAGTTTTGTAAGAGTGTTATCCTATTTATTTATTATTATTATTTTTTTTTTTCTTCCTAGAATTGGATTTTTCATGTTGTAAAATGTTTTCACATTTAGATTTTTAACAAAAACAATTTACAAGAAATTTCACTTAACCTTTTCTTTCTTTTTCTTTTCATGCAGGTTTAAAAGCAGATGAGAAGATCTGGTCCATTTTCTCAGTCTATTCATTCTAATATAAAAATGAACAGCTGCAGCAATATTGTGCACATAAGTCTTAAATACTTATACAATCAATTTCAGTAGCAAAATGTTCAATTATTTTTCCTTGTTTGGGATATATGTGAAAACTTATGTAATAAGCAATTGCAATCTTAGTCTGTTGATAAGATATTATAATTTTCAACATGATGGTAAGTTAAATTGCTATTATGCATTATATTTAATAGCCAGTCAATGTTTTGCTAATTATTTTAATTACATCAATGTTTCACTGCTTTGAGAATTTATTATGGATGGAGTAACTTTCTTTCAAATGTTACCAATTCCATTTGATAGGTAAGTTTATATTGGTTCATATGTTTGTTTTTATCTTTCCTAATTTATACCACCTTGCATATAGCAAGAGACAGTGGTAGATATAAAAATCAGATTCTTTTGATTGTATTTTGATTGATAAGTGTCATAAGATGACAAGGAGGCTGGGATTTGAGACAAAAATAATCAGCTGAAATTTATCTTTTTTATTTTATTTTATTTTCTCCATTAATTTTTCTGCATTTGGTTTGCTTGGGCTAATTTCCTTTGTCATTTGAAAATTACTCCAAGCAAGCCACATGTAATAATCCAAACAAAATTCAGATACAAACTATAATTTTTCAGTTTGTCTTGCAAAATCTTACTCATCAATGTGCACTTTTAAAAGAATTGTTGGCGTGGGGGGGGACAATTTTGTACTTTGGTTGAATTCATTTTATTGCTTGTAATATTTTTTTTTTTTTTTTTAGCAGAGATATTTATATAGAAATACAATAACTGCAAATTAAGAGGACAAAAAATAAGCAGACAGACTAAAATGAAGTTCATTTAAAGTAATTTTATATTCATTTTTTTTTCTCTCTCTCAAATATTTTAATTTCAATTTCTTCAGCATTTGAGAATCTTATTCAGTGGCCCTTTTTTTTCTTTCTTTCTTTCTTAAATAGCAGCAGTTTAATTTGAAAGTGTCCTGCCAGGTAAGTTGACCAGAAGGTAAGTCTCTTAACAAAAATGGCTGTGGATTCCAAAGAACTTTCAAAGGAATTTGAAAGCTTAAAACAAAAAGCAACTTAATTGCTCTTTGCTTTTGAAGGCCTTTGCTTCAATCTGGGGAAAATTTGGAGGTTTAACTTAGAGGAAAAGATGATTCATTTGATCTTGCATCAAGCAAAACTCAAAATTATTTTCATCTCAAGAAGATAGTGATTCATAAAAACCTATGAAAAAGGAGTTTTAAAAAATATTCATCAATTTGTTTAGTTCACTGGATAGTTCAATTTCTTTTATGCTTATAAGAAGTTGTGCTTTATCAAAATTTAATGAGAGCCAATAATGTTGGTCTCATTGAACTCTAGAATGCATTGGTTGTAAAGAATATCAGCAAAAGACAATTTAAGTAATTAAAAATTTTTATTTACTAACAATGGGTATTGAAACAAAGTTTTCCTTTTAAAAACATGACTAGATTCATTTAGTAAATTATAAAATGTTATTCATGTGATCTTTGTTGTGTACATTTTGAGCTGAGGATGAGGGTTTGTTAACAGGAAACTATTCTATTCATAAAAACGTGCTGAATAGGATATTGGTTTTAATTTCAATTCTGCTTATATCAGATTGAACCAGTTGTTGATAGTTTTAATATGGAATTACAAAAATAAGTAAAAAAAATCTTAGAAATATAAGTTTTGAATTTCAAATATTTTCATTCTTGATCACTATTAGCACAATTAAGGGAAAAATAAATTTAAAAGTTCAGAGTAATTAGTTCATCTAATGCCATAAAATCTTAAGCACTAATTTCAACAGGATCATAAAACTGATTAACAAAAATTCTATATTAAAAAAATTTTTCCTTGTATAGAAACAATTTTGAATTTTACATAAAATTCAGTGTCAAAACATTTGAATTTTAAAGTTATACTAAATTTCAATGTGTTATTAAGATTTTAAAATATTGTAGTTGCATAAATTATCTACTTTTCTCATTAATCTGGTATGATCTACAAACTAGTTTCAGTGTGCCACAATGAAACTTTTTAATGACTCCTTGTTTATTTATTTATATATATATATATATATATATATATATATATATATATATATATATATATATATATATATATATATAAAAAATCCATGTCAAATTTTATAGTGGAAGATTGTTTTCATTGTGAAAGTGGTATCATGAACTAAACCAATGTTAAACTTCCAGAATTTATATTTGTTTGAATTTTATTTTGTAATATGTCTTTATTAATATATTTATTATATTCATGATAACTTTTGGGTGTGTCTGCTTTTATTATCTGAACAAACTAAGTGCAATGTAAGTGCTTTATCTGTAAATTCACAAACTATCGGCCATAGAAACATTTGATTAGCACAGTATCCTATATATCTGAATTAATTATTATTTTACATAAGCTCTTGACTTTCTATAACCTTCATCAGTCTTATTCATTTAGTTAACTTTTCTCCTGTTTCAACTTTATTCAGCATGCAGCAGTTTTTATTGCTTCCTAGAGGTCTTTGTTTAAATAATGTTTTCCTTTCTCGTATCCATCTCTTTTAATGATGGACTGCAACTTTTCTATCAGATTAATATATGGGAAAGATAGGGACCATTCCATTAATTTGGTGTATTTGAAAAAATTTGGTGCAGGATAGCTTTTCAGAGCATTTTCTTGAATGAATATACTCTAGTTGATCTTGGTTGTGACCTGTATCATTAAAAAATAGCTTTCTAATGAACTTAGAAATTTATTTTGCACTGTTACATTTGTTGATTATTTTCATTGAAGATCTCACCTCTATCCCAATCATCAGGTCCATCCAATGTAAATCTGCACTCATCACTAAAAATTACTTTGAGTAATGAGTTTTTATGAACTTCTTTCTCCTAACATGAAGTTTACTTAAATGTGGTAGTTTGGTGGGTGGCTTGTCTTTAGTTTTTCTTAATATTATGTATCTTTTCACTATGTTTACGTTTGTAATACCCAACTGCAAATATTTTCTTGCTGGTCAAGCCACATGCTTATTACCCTTTTCTCAGCTGTCTTTATGACATTTTAAAAACATTTTTTCCTGGATTTTATCTTGCCAGTGTTTTCAATTACTTGATTGTTCTTTGATCTCTTTTCAACCTTTTAACAATTTCCAGCATTCTGTTCCAATTGCTCAATAACTTCATAGCATCTTTTTTTTCCCTTGAATTTGTCTTTCTTATGGTCCATTGTGTTATTTATGTATTTGTTCAACTGCAAATATATCAATGATTATACAATTGGATGTATTTATTTATTGAAAGCTGAATAACCCTCATTGCATAATAGTCGCACCATGACCAAATCAGTTATAAGTATTTGTAATAAAGTAAGATATAAGATGAAATATACATGGTATATTTATTGCAAGTTATATATATATATATATATATATATATATATATATATATATATATATATATATATATATATATATATATATATATGTAGGTATATGAGTGAGCGATCATATACAAATTGATATGTATATTCTATAGTGTAAAAAAAAAAAAAACTGCTCAATGTAAATTAATAGAGCTATTTAATTGTGTATGTATGTATGTATGTATGTATGTATGTATATTATTATATATATATATATATATAAGCAATGTACATAATATCTTATTAATTGCACAACTCGAAGTTTCATGCTGAAGCAATTTTTCAAGTGCTGGGATTTTATATATATATATATATATATATATATATATATATATATATATATATTGTGCTGGTTAGGAACAGTTTTATTGTGAAAAGTGTGACTTGTGTGATAAAATTTGTCAATGGAGAAAGGTATAAAATACTATTAACTGATGCCATAGAATAGAACTTGCTCTATCAAGAACTGACTGAAAATGCAAATGATACATAACGAATTAACATAAATGATTGCTTGATCATTTTTTAATCTCAGATGATGTTAAACGTTTTCAAGTCAACTCAAGAAATGCAATGCTTTCTTCTTTTAAATACTACTACAGTTATTGAATTAGTGTTGGCTCATATTATCTTTTAATGTTAGGGATAGCTCCTACTTGACCTTTGAATTGAGTTGGCAATTTTTTTTTTTCTCCATGCAGGCAGTGGGTAATGTATTTCAGCAGTGATGTGCATGACAAGTTACATTTTGAGTGTGTTATGTAGCTTCTTGTCAGCCAATGGTAGTGACTATGGGAAAATAATGTTTTGTAGCTAAAAATTTACTTTATTTAACACTTGTTATTGTGCTCCTTAAATCTGATATAATTTCCTTGGAAATAGGAGGTATTACTTTCAAATGTTCCTTGAATATGTTTCTTACACAGTTTGGGGGCTGAAAAGTTCTTTCTCCAGTCCCCTTCCTAAATTCTGACCAAACATCATAATTTTTAAGGAAGGTTTGCTTATTTGGGCCAAAATATTTTCAGTTCTCATATATACCCACTGAATGTCTGCTTTAATTTACCCAAGATTAAAGATAACAGATAATATAGTAAGATTACAGTAAATGATCATATATAGATCAATATTTACATGAGTTTCAAACTTTATATCAATATACATACTCCTTGGGCATTAATACAGTCCTGAACTGTTACATGCATATGATTATACAAATGGTGACTACCATCTACTGATGCATTATCCAGCACCTTTTGCAGTTGATGTAATATGCAAGAGTTATAGGTGGACTAACTGAGTGAGTCAAGTATCAATCTCTCTTACAGATGTTGAATAGGGTGGGGAGCAGCATATTGCTTGGCATTATCCTGCTGGATGGCAGCAGGATGGTTTGGACTGTTTTCTGGAGATATATATATATATATGACACTGTTCTCACCACAAACATCAAAAGCAAGTGTATATGAAAACTTACTTCATTCTGCTGGAGGGGGT